CACGCCCCCCGCCGCCCCGCGCGCCCGGCCCGGCTAGCGCGCCCTGCTGCTGCACCTGCCGGCCTTCGGGCGCGACCTGTACCTGCAGCTGCGCCGCGACCTGCGCTTCCTGTCCGGCGGCTTCGAGGTGGAGGAGGCCGGTGCAGCCGGGCGCCGTGGACGCCCCACCGAGCTGTGCTTCTACTCGGGCCGCGTGCTGGGCCACCCCGGCTCTCTCGTCTCACTCAGCGCCTGCGGCGCCGCCGGCGGCCTGGTACTGCCCGCGCCCCCTCCCGGTCTGCCTGGCGATCTGTCGGGGCTCTCGGGGGTGGTCCCCGGGGAAGGCTGGGATGGGGGTGGAGCCACCAGAGGTGCCCTGCCGCTGGCAGGCTGGAACCTCTCTTACCCCTTCCCCCCACCCCCCCTTTCCCTTACCTTCCGAAGGGTCTAGGAGCAGAGGGCGTGAAAGGGGAAGCGTCCAGTTATCCAGTGCCTTCCACTGACTGTCCTAAGACTCATTGGTGCGCCAGGACAGCGTCTGTCTGGGAGCAGCCCACCCAGGGCCTAGCAGGGATGAAACTTGTCAAGCCCCTAGACTGAGAGGTGCACTTGGCCCAGGTGTAGAGAGAACCCTGTTTGCATCTGTACAGGTGTGTATGTGTGCTTGTCCTAGGGAACACCTGTATGTGTGTAGCTCATCTATTTTAGATGTGGAGATGGACTCTTGAGCACTGATCTCCTTTCTGTCCTTTTGAGTCTTTCTGTATTTGGAAAAGGAAGTTTGGAGAGGTCCCCTGACAGGCAACTAACCTACTCTTCAAAGTTGAAACTTGAGAACTAGGAGAGGGAGGATGTCCCTATTATCTTCCTCTTACAGGGCGAGCAGGCGTTGTGTGGGGCACCCAGCCTCAGCCAGGCCTGAGGGATGCTGACATTGGTGATAAGACCTGCTCCCCTCAGTGGGGCAGTTCTCCCCTCCCCATGCCGGCTGCATTTGAGGCCCCTGTGGACGGTGCTGCGTGGGGCAGAGGAGGTTCTTGAGCACCTCCGCCCTGCCTGTGCTCACACGAGGTCACTTGCCTATCCTGGTGCCCACACCACCTCTTCTCTTGTTTCTCTGCTGTACCCCTGAGGAGTGCACATGGCTGGCAGATGGGCTGCCCCAACCCAGCAAAGCCTGGGATGGGCTCAGAGCGTGTTTCTCTATCTTCCAGGCAAGTGGTTTCTGATATTCTTTGTGTCTGCCCTTCCCTGGCACAAGAAACTGCTTCCCCTACCTCTGCCTTATCTTGCTGTGCCATCTAGAGTTCTCTAGCCCTTACCCACACAGTGTGCAACAAATTGGCACAAGTCTGCAGCAAAGCCAGAAAGCCTGGGAATCCAAGTGTTTTTAGGAGACTTCTGCCCTCTTCCCAGCAGTGTAGGGGAACTTTGGGGGGTAATTCCCAAGAATTGGCCTTCACCAGTTCCCCTTTCAGGGCGTTTTAGAGTCCCGATCAGAATGTGATCTCCTTTTGCTGGGCCGGGAGAAATTGACTTCTTTGGTTAAACAAGGAAAATGGACCGTGGAGGGGGCCTGTTAGGAGCTAATGTGGAACAGGGGCAGAGAATGTGGGCTGTGGGTGAGGAGGCTTAAGCAGGAGTGAGAACGGCTCAGATCACCGTAGGACTTGGGTCAAGGCTGTATCATGTTCTGGGAGGGACTGGAAGGCCCACATCATTTTTCCTGTTTTTGCCAAAGTGTTTAAAGTCTAGGTCACATCACTGTACTGAACATGGAAACATCTGAATCCCATTTGCTGCGGTTTAGTGAGTTTCTGCAGAGGTCAGAGTTTATACTTCTTGGTGTAAAGTTTCCAGTGAGGAGCTATCTGCGAAGGAGCTGAGGGTGGAAATCTGGACAACACTGATTGAAAATCCTCTCAGAGTGAGTTCTGGGCCCTCTCACTGATGGCATCTGAGCCGTGAGAGAGTTCACTTCAGTCCTCCAGATTTTCAGGAAGACTGTCCTTCCCTTTGGCACCATGTGAGGGCGCTGTGCTTTAGATAAAGGAACCCGGCCAAGAGGCTGAGTTCGGTGTGTGCCAGCTGCGGGTGGACCTCTAGGACGTTAGCTTTTAAATTCCTGCTTGAGTAGACACTCCTGTTGTTTAGTCTGCCTTGCTCATCCCATTCGTGTAAGCTGGACAGCGGACACATCCTCCTGGGTACACCTTATGGAGGAAGGGCAGAAGGCTGAGAGGAAGGAGCCGGCCAGGTGACTTGCAGTGGGCCTCTGCGTGGGAAGGTGGTCTTGCCTCTCTAGAAAGGAAAGCAGCAGGCATGTAGGTCAGCCAGGTTTGCATCGCACTCCACCTGACTCTGATTTTGGTTCTCAGATGAGCTTGAGACAGTTCAGCTGGGTGGTCACGTTGTGCTAGTCTCTCTGGACCGCGCTGGAAGCACCGTGGAGGTGTGGCCCATATGTTTTGTGTGTGTGGTTTTTTTTTTAATTGAAGTATAGTCAGTGACAATGTGTCGGTTTCTGGTGTGCAGCGTTGTGTGGTGTGTTTTGGGGGATGGGCTCAACTATGAGGTGGGAAGGGAGTGCTGCCCAGGGGATGAGTTTTCGTGTCCACAGATGAGAGCATTCCAAAGCCTCCTTGTAGCTAAAGAATCATGTAAAGCAGGGGTTGGCAAGTTATTTTTTCTGTAAAGAACCAAGTAGTAAATGTCTTAGGCTTTGCAGGTCGTGTAGTCCTGTCACAGTTCCTCAAATATGCCCTTTTAGTGCAAAAGTGACCACAGACGGTAAAGGAACAGACGGACATGGCTGTGTTCAATAAAACTTTATTCTGATGTTGAGTATGAATTAAATGCTGCTGCACCAACATCTCCAAAACAGTTTAGTGAGGAGGGCTGCGTGCAGGGGCAGGGGACACGGGCCCTGTGCTCGGTTGCGTGGAAACTGCCATCTCCAGAGACGTTTGGTGTCTGTTTAAAGGAGATGCAGGCTTAGAAGAGATTGTTACTTAATTATTTATGGGGCAGGGAAAGTAAATCTCTAGCTCTGTTTGCCAGCCCCCGGCCCCCGGCTTTTGGCCTGGGCAGAGGTGTGTTTCTCTGGTACTTCCCCCTCTCTCTCTGTGTCTTGTCCTGAAAAGCTGTTCAAGCTACACATTTTGGACCTTCAGAGACCACAGGCTCAAGTATTACTTGTTTTTTGTTTATGCATCTTCATTTTATTTACATTTCAGGGAGTCTTTATACATAATGTAGGTTTTTTGGAAGAGTTTCTCTGACCATAGGACTTCAAAGGGATGAACTTTGGGCTGTGAGGAAGGTATTTTCCCTCCCAGGGGATTTATGTGAGTCTGGACCTGCTGCCTTGCATGAATGGGACAGAGCACGGAGGGCCAGCGCACTTGGAATAAACTTTGGGTGGAAGTTTACCGGCGAGGCAGCGAAGGGGCAACTTGAAAGGTAGAATGCATGTTGGTCTTGGCAAAGACTCTCTGTGCTCCTTGTCTGAAATGAGTGGACAGAGGCTGGTTTCACCCTGACTCCTGAGGGGAGGCGGGCAGAGAGGAGGGGCAGCCCCTGCTGCTGGATTTGGTCATTGTTCCTTAAAGAATGCCAAGCTCGGGGGAGTCCAGCACCCAAAATCTGTTCACCCCTCCTGGGCTGAGGCCATGGCCTGCAGGGGTACGCTGTGGGTGAGATGTTGGGACCAGACAGGACACCCAGGAGCTCTGGGCTGTGGAACGTTGGAAAGCTGTGCCCGGTTTCCAGGCCCCCCTGGAGGGCCAGGGATTCTCCCAGCATGCCGTCTGTGGAGTCACAGCCGCACTTCACGGGATGCTTGCTTGTGGCCGCTCTTACCCAGGCAGCTCACGGGGGGACCCAGTGGCCCAGCTGCCCTGTCTCTGGCTGGCCAGCCCGGCCACCATAGGTGGCCATTGTAGTAGCCCATCATTCGTGGTGCTTCTTACAGTGTTAGTTCTGATAGCTCGTCCTCCCAGTCTGCTCGGGGACTTTTGTGAGAATGCGCACCTTCCCTGTAGGGGAGGAAGGGTAGTCCAGATGAGAACAGAGGGGGCCGAGGTCAGCCAGTCAGTGAGCAAGTGGCTTGGAAGAGTTGGGAGACCCCGTTCTCCAGAGGGCGGCCCGACTTCAGTGGCGCACAGGCGGGTTTGGGAGGTTGCCGCCTCTCCCTTGAGAATTAACCAAGCTCTGTCCTCACTGACCATGACGTCACCCAGTCTTTTAACGCAGCGTCACTTGATCACATACAGCTGAGCAGGAATTAGTCTTGGCAAAGAGTATCTGGTGTGGAGACCATTTGGAAGGGACCAACTCGACCACACCCTATTATGATGCATCATTGTGTTGACCCAGGTGTGGGGGAGGCACACGGTCCTTAGTCATTCATCAGTTCATGTTACTGAAGACCTTAGCACGCACAGGATAAATATATTTGGAAAATGCGAAGCATGTTTTTTAAAACTTTGTGAAAAGAAACAAAATGAATGGATGTTAAGGAAAGTAAGAAGAAGGGGAAAAAACAGTTGTGAAATTTGGAGGTGTGGAGGAATTAAAGGGAAGAACTTGGAGCAGAGAATTCTAAGGCCTCCTGCCACCTCCTCTGGAAGGTCATTCACTGTCTCATATGGTGACTTTCTGCACCCCCTGCTCATGGACATCAGGCTGCCCGTGACCGTCACCTAGGACACGTAATGCTACCTGGTGACTTACCTAGGGTACCTAACCAGATTTTCCCATCTGAACTTTTATTTAGTTGGCAGCATCTTAAAAAGAAAACATACAAGATGGGATGATGCACTAAAGACATCTTCTTAGACTGATTGCATTCTTGGAGCTGATTCCCTGAACTCTGAGATGCTGCAGCTGCCTGACCTCGGATGTGTGCAACCGGAGATATTTTTGCAGCCAGTACGTCGGGGGGAACCACGCAGAGTCGGTGGTTGACCTTTCCCCGGGCACGCTGCTGCACACGGGCGCACAGATGCACGGTCACACCCGTGTTCTTTAGGAAGTGAGACGGCACAGCTGGTCGGGGCTGTGATCCCGAGCGAGGCGCTTACCTCCTTTGAACCTCCCCGTCTGCAGCTTCGCGTGGCTGTTGATAGAATGAAGTAGGATAGTCTGAAACCATTTAGCAAGAGCCTGGCACATTAAGGCATTGGAAACACATTTCTTCTCTTGCCCCACAGGCCGCTCCCAGACTTTTCCAGTTATAAATCAACCCATCAATCAACACCGTTGACTAAATGA